ACATAGATATTATATCAATATTACAGTAAATAAAAATTGGTCGAATTAAAAATATATTTTTTATATACCGATCATGCTAAAAAAATAACTTAACCGGATCGGTCGAAAAATCATTCAGCTAATTTTATAGGTATCCCAGGAATAATGAAAACAGCTGTAAGCCATAAGCTGCCGCAACAAAATTGGATCAGCTAACAGCCGAGGATCTTCAAAATTTTTTAACCCATATTACAAAATTGGACCAGCAGATCCTCAACTAACGGCCGAAGATCTTCAAAATTTTAGCCCACCTTACAAAATTGTTTCTAAATTCTGGCCAGAATTAACTGCTACTAGTATCCAACCCGTGGCTTCACCACAGGAATGGATAAATTTTTTGAATGATTATTTTTTTTTTTAGTGATAGTTTTTTTTTTTTAAATTAATTGAATTTTGTGTTTTAATTTTTTTATAATAAGTAAATTTTATTAAGTATTAGTTATTTTATTTTATTTTTTGTTAATATTTTTTTGATAGTTTAGTTAGTAATTTTATGCATAATTATTTTTGTGTTATTTGATTTTTAGGTGTTGAATTTTTTTTTTTGGTTATTATTTTATTTATTTATTTTTATTTTTTATGAAGTTATTATTTTGTTATTAGGGATTGTTTTAAATTTTTGATATTTTTTTTTTTGGTTAGTTTTTTATTTTTATTTATTTATTTTATATTTATATGAATTATATTGTTATTTGTTTTTATAATTGAAAAATGGTTTATTTGTTATTTATTGAAAAGGTTGTTAATGAAGTGACATAGTGATTATTATTGTAAAATTGGATGTGTTTATGATTGGTTATATTATAGGTATTTATGTATCTTTTTGTGTTTATTTTTTGGTTATTGTTGCAATGTGTTTTTTATAGATAATTTTGGGATATGATTTTTGGAAATTCATATTGTTATTATGTATAGATAATGGTAAATGTAATATTTAAAGTTGGCTGCTTTGGTGAAGAATATTATCTTTTTCTTTACTATCATTTGCCTTGTGAAGGTTGGCTTTACTACCTTCCCTTACTTATTCAAAGTTAAGTAAGTAGAACTATTGTTATACTAGTCTTTATAGTTGCATAAGCAGTGCAAGGACCTGATGTTTTTGGTTCACAGTTGTAGTGATAGTGCAAGGATCAATTTTGTATTTGGTTCTGTGGTACAGATTGCAGTGTAAGAACCAGTTTGTATATGGCTTTGTGGTTTCAAATAGTAGTGCAATAACCATAATAAAGATACTTCGCTTATATTAGCATGTATATGTATATTAATTTTCTTTGTAGTTATAAGAGGATTTGACAGTTTCTTCAATATGAGGTATTTTAATTGGTATATTGTTGTTCAGGTTATCTTTTATTTGTGAGCAGAATGAGTATTACCTATGTTCTTTTCACTTGCTATTTTATATATTTATATCTTTGTAGCTGCTTATTTGGTTATGTATATTAGAGCTACAAAAGGTAGTGAACTCCTATTCTTATATGTTTTTCAGATTTGTTAAATAAAATTGTTCAGTTGTTTAAATAAAGTTTGTGATAATAAATAATAATGTTAATTTAAAAGTTTTTTTTTATTGTTTATTTGTTTCATTTGTAATTTTTTTTATTGGTTGTTTAGTTGTTATTGTGATAAATATTTGTTAGTTTTTTTTTGATGGTATAGTAGTGTAGAGAAAGTAAGTTAAGAATTTATTAGATTAATTTTATTATTAATTATGATGTTTGTATACATATTATTATAATTTGTTATTTAATTATCGGTTTAGATGTATTATTTTTAATAATAAGATAATTATGGCATATATTATTGAATTAGTGTTATTTAGTTACGTGTATATTTTTTTTATTTTTAGAGGGGTATTAATTGTCATAAATTTTTAATTAATGATATTTTATATAATTTTTATTGTTGTAATAGTGAGCAGTTAGTCGATATTTTGTATTTGATATGTTTTTTGTTATGATGCAATTGTTAATTCATAGGTTTGAATTTAATATTTGTTATATAATATATATATATATATATTTTTATCTTTATAAAGCAGGTTGTTTGGTTTTTTTCTTCTTCTTCTTCTTTTTCTGAAGTTTTAATCTTTTTTATTTTGTTATTGTATATTTTTATATTACATTATCTGTATTTTGTTTTTAATTGATGTTGTAATTATATGTTAATTAATTTTATTTTTGTAATAATAGGTTTGTAGAATGCCTTGTTATGCTGATATGATTGTTTGAATTAAGTTTGTAAAGCAGTCCATTAACAAGAAAGGGAACTCTGATTTGTTAGTAGTATGGGCTCTTGGTACTTATCCAGTCGAATGCAAAGATTATGATATTGAGTTGGTTCTTTTTTTGCTAGTTTGACAGAGATTCTGAAAGCCAAGCTATTTTCGAGAAGAATAATTTTTACACTATTGGAGGAAAAATTGTGCCTAGGTATTATAATGATAATAAAGAGTAAAGATATTTATTATATATTTGGTTTTATATATTTATATATTTGTATTAAGTTTTTTTATAATTTATTTAATTTTTAGATAACAGTTTCAATATCTACACATTTGAAGATTCTTAACAAAGTTGTTGAGTCTAATAAGTGTCTTTTGAAGATTTCTTTGGTTAGAATTTCTCAAGAGGTGCCATACAAAATTAAAGATGCTTTTGTTGTTAATGTTATGATTTATGATTATGCTAGTCACAAATGCAGTTTTATTATGAAGGTTGTTTTTCTTTCTCATGATTTGTGTCTTGCACATTTAAAAAATAAAATTCATTTTCAAGAGTCATTAATTTTTGTAGTTGGACAGATGGAGATTTTTGCTAATGAATTTTATGTTTATGCTAAGGATATAAATTATGTTGATACTGATTTTATTGTTAAGAACAAAGGTCTTGAAAATAATTTACCTTCAAATCCAATAGTAACTCAAAGTAGTGTTTATTCAAAGCTTCTTGTGATCTATTAAAATATTTTAGGTAATTTGAAAAATAAATCAGAAAATAATAATTCAGCTTCAGTTAATTTACATAATTTTGAAGATAAATCTGAATCAAGTTTTTATTCATCAAAACATAATTGAGATAATTTTGAAGGTTCTGATGACGCTAAGTATATTGGGCGTGAGTTTTGTGATATGGAAAATGTCAGTGCAGGTGATGAATTTCACAAAGATAACTTTTGTGAATTAGTTAAGAAAAGAAAGATTTTATTTAAAAAGGGTAAGAAATGTGCAGATAGGTCATTACATAGTAGTTTAAGGCCTTTTAGATCTAATATAGGTGATAGTAATAGGAATGTGTAGATTTTTTATTTTTTTTTAATATTTTTTTTGTTTATTTTATTTTTATTTTATATTTTTATTATTTATGTTTTATTGAAGTTTTTTTTATTGCTTGGTTGTAATTTATTATTAAAACTTTAGATATGTTTTACAAATGTGATAGTTTTAAAGTTTAAAATTGTTTAATTGAATTTTTAAAGGTGTTTTTTTTTAGAAAAAAATTTTAATTATCTAAAATTTCTTTATAAACTACGTTTTGTGTATAAGTGTCTTTTTTTCTAGGAATTTTACCTTCTTTTATTAGCACTTTGATATTTCAAAAAGGTTTAGCTTATGAAAATACAATGTAAAGTTGCTTGTATATAAACACATGTTCATGTAGAATAAGTCTAATATATGGAATGTTCTGGCTTTGTAATTTATTTATCATTAAGGCAAATGTGAGTTTAACTGAAAATTGTTTTCTTTTTAATATAAATAAAAAGCTTTATGCTATTTGAGAATATAAAGAGTATTTAGAGAAGGAATATTTGGTTTCCCTGATGGCTTCTAGTAGTTATTTCTGCTTCGATTATATTGTTGTTAAATATTTGATATATTAATCCTGTGCTATTGTATAGACCATTAAGTGGGTCTAAATTATAAGCATATAATAGGAGTATTTATTTTGAAATGTAGTTCATGAGGAGAAATATTGGCCATGATTATAGAGTTGAGAAATTCTTGTTAATAGAGATTATTTTTGTCATTAGAAACAGTATCATAACTTTGTATATTATGTGATTACCAGATATTTGTTTTAATATCATGCTGTTGATATAGTCAATATAATTATTTTTCATTATGAGTATTGCTCTGTTAGTGAAGTATGAAGTGTTTGTGGAATATGATAATATATGCGAGTATATTTCTTTAATAAGAGGTTCTATTATGCCAATCAATTACATGTGTTTGGAAATTCAGATTATGTCATTATTTGTAGTTGGTTCAGTTTTATTTTCGATTTTTTGTAAAAAATTTGTAAAGGTTGTAATCTCAGAATTATTTTCAGCTCTTATATTTTGATGAAGATAGAAAATTTCTATTTTTGACCATAATGATGTTGCATTTATGATTTGAGTGTGGCTTTCTCGCAGTATTACAGGTATACTTTATCTTTGCTATAATGGACCCTTCAGGCTAAAAGATTTTTCTCATTATATTCATAATAAATGAATATTTGTTATCTTTTAAACTGTATTCCAGGCAAATTTGTCTGAAAAATTGAAAAGTATTTACAAATTTTTAAATAAAATTAAAAATTATTAATGATATGGAGTATAATTTATATATAAATATTTTATTTAAAACATATCCTATAAGCTTTATTATGGAAATTTTTTAATTTTACTAGAAATCTTTAAAGTAATAAAAGTTTAAAGCTCTAACTTTAAAAATTTTTACTATTAAATTTTTCTTTAAATTTTCTAA